AGTAGCCAGCGGCACCGCTCCCCTGAGCTGACAACTTCTTTCTTCTCTCTGAAGTATCAGTTATTTCCGTGTGCTAGCAACACATAATGTGGGAACTATCCTAAAGAGAAAAACAAAGCCAGCTCCTAAGACCCCACCAGAGGCCATTCCTGCTTGCTCCTGTGCCACTTTGCTCATCTCTGAGGGGCCAGAACCAGGAAAGGGAAAGTCATTTAAGACGCTGAGCATATTCTGAATGGACCTGTATGTGTTTCCACACGCTAGTGTGAGGACTGAGGCTGATGTTATAAATGAAAATTTGTCTAGCATAAATTAAAATGAAAATCTAATGTATTTATTTTGCAATCAGATTCTATCTAGCCAGTCACAAGTAAAGAACATTGCTGAGCCCGGGGTCGGCACTTGGTGTGCAACAAAGAATTCAACCTCTGCAGAGGTTTTCCTCCCAGCCCACAAGCCCCCATTCTGGTACAAGCAGTTTTAATAGGGAAAATTCCGCCTGAGGCCAGGATTTTGGCAATCAGTCCTTTCTTCTATTCAGAGTCCCATAGTCTGATGAAATTTCTTTTCTTGATGAGGTAGAAGAATTCAGATAGAACAATTCAATGTCCTCCATGTCAGGACTTGGTGAATCACTAGATGAAATTTACAGGAAGCCTACATTCACATGTATCTGTCACAAGGATTTCCATGATATCCATCTTGGGTCGTTCACCCAATGATCAGCACCTGGGCGTCCGGTATTACTCCAGGTATGGCCCATCTCCAGAGGAGCCACATCCTTTAACTTGTAAATCGGGTATCGACATACACCAAGTTTCACCTCTGAGAGTGGGGGAGACTCCTAATACAAACGTGTATACTCCAACAAATATTCAATAACACATATATCATACTAGAAATGGCGCAAATTATATCTTCTACACATAACACTGAGATGGAGGTTTGGGGCAGAACCTCTACCTCGGCCCCAGAGTAGCCTTAGGGTTGGAGGAGGCAGCCTTGGCCACCAGCTCAAGGGCACTGCCTGTGGGAGAAGTGGACTCAGCCGGGATGGATCTCACACTCAGGAGGTTTCCTCTGGAGAAGCCCGGAGCCCTTTCTGCCCCTCCCTGCAAGGGCAGCTCCGTCAGCACCAGCCTCCTGCCCTGCTCTCACCTGGCCCTGTGTAGTGAACAAGTAAAAAGTAAGGAATGTTTTTCTTCATTGCCTCTTGGAAGATTCAAGTTTGAAAATTAAAGTTTTTCTCTGCCTCCAACAGAAATGTTCATTCCTGCCTTATTTTGGAAAAAAATACCATGTTTGAAGTCACAAAGAGAGCTTGTAGTTGATATATCAGGCAACTAAACAAGAGAGCTTCGATATATGAGAAAAGCAAGCAATAAACGTTTTGGTCCATCAGGCAAACTTCAGCTCAATTCCAATGCCCAGCCACTGAACTTTAAGGGAGCAAACGTGAATCTGCCCACGGCCGTGCTGTTGCTTTGAGGTGGACATGACATTGCCACTCTCCAAACCCTCCAGAAGCAAGTGCCGCAGAAGCTGCAGCTGCCAAATCTGCAGAGTGTCGGAGTCTTTGCTGTGTGCTCGTGCCCTCCCCCAGTGCAGCTCCGGCTGCCTGGCTCTGCTCCTGCACTGCCGCTGTCCGATGGACTTCAGCTGCCAAAGACCCACGGCGCTCTGTGAGGCAGCGCCGGGCCCACGGTGCTGGTAACACCTTCCCTGTGCTTCACCAGATCATTCTTGGCTAGCCCCACTGGCCTGTCTTCTTCCTTTTCTCTTTTAAGAAAAAGTAAATGTAGAAATATCCCTTTGGATTTCAACATTTAACCTAGTTTGTGTTTTAATCTCACTTCCGGGTACGTGAAAAATACATATTATATGATTGGCTTTTCGCAACTGTTACTTTTAATATTAGATGTGTAATGTTAGAAAGTTATGCTGTATTAATTCTCTTTAGTAGTGTGTTACATATAGTTTTAGGTTCTAACATCATATTAAAATAGAAACTCTGCTATGTGAAGGGTTTTTCTAAGGAATGAGATCCTTACTTTGAAGAATACCTAAATCATCCAAAGAAAAAGAATTTATCGTTGTCTTACCTGACGAAGCTAATTTCTTCAGGCCTTGCTCAGGCTCGAAGCGCCATGGGTATTAAAGGAAACAGTAGACATACAAGAG